CGTCCACGTATCCTCCAAGCACCTCCAGCTCCTCTGGGGTCACCCACTTAGGCCAGAGCTCCTACACTTCCTATATCTTGCTGCTACAAGACAAAATGCAAGGAGATGAAGTACACTTTACTAATTGTTACCTTTTTTTTTTTTTTTTGCCCAACTTGTATCTGTCGCAGATCCAGGGTGCCATAGTTATCCTGCTCCCTCACCCCCTACCTCCCCGCAGGTCTTATCAGATGTCCGGCTCGCACCTGAACACGCATCGACATGGCCCTGGGTCCGCTGCCATTTATGTCGTGACTCTCTGCTCCGCATTCTCATCTTCAGCTTCCTGAAACGCGTGATGGCGAAAGATTGAGCCAAGGTAGGAATCAAAAAAGCGAGCAGACAAAACACCGTCCCAGTCACCACCATCGAAAGGCCAGAGGGGCGCGGCCAAGGGCTACCCTGGAAGCCCCCTGGCCTCTACGATTGGCTGTTGCGACACGTCGCAGCCAGTGATTGGTCGCGGCATCGAGCGCTACGTCCGCCGAGAGGAAGGGCGGGAGTCCCGGGTCTCAAAAGCCCGCCTTCCGGTACAAGTAAAGGTCGTCCCGCCGAGTCGAGGAACAGCGTTTGGTGTAACCGGGTCCTTGCACCTAAGCGACACTAGCAGTGGAGCCCCACGAAGCGAGATGACCCTCAGGTGCTCTGCGAAGGGACGCAGCACCCGGGACACCGTGCTAAGCAGGGAGCTCGGCCTCTCCTCCCGCCAGCACTTTGAGCGCGGCGCACGGCTGCCTTAACTCCTGGCGAGGTCTGCCTGGGACGTGCGCCACGGGGGGCGGAGCTGCGCCAGAAAGTACGTCGCCCCGTCGTCGTGGCGGTTCGCGACGTGCTTTACGTGAGGGGGGCGGGGGATGAGAACTTTCACAGCTTGTTTTCCCCCTTATGTATAGTTTGCTGTTTCGCTTAAAATTGCTGGTTCTTTCACCTTCTCTGCGGCTTGCCTCCCTGCTTGCCTAAAGGATTTTAAAGAGCATTGCTCTTTTAAAAATGGAAGGGCCCCCGCCATTTCCGGATTGTGAGGAGATGGGAAAGGAGTTTGGGAGAGCTGTTGCACATTCGGACGTGGTGGCCGTGAGCAAGAGTGCGGGCCTGAGTTTTCCCCAGTGCTGTTTGGCATAATTCAGTTGCATTAGCCCAGTACTACAAAGCCAGTAACCTTCTTCTTCTTTTTTTTTTTTTAAACCAGTAGCATTCCAGCCATATCGGATTATAGCAAGAAGTTTTATTTGGCTAGAGAGTAGGGCAGAATTTCAGATGAATGTAATGTGAACTCTTGTTGATGGCCTAGTATGTAATTGGAACTCCTGTCGATGGCCTAATGTAAGTCCCATTGTATTCAGGACACACTGCGATCGAGTTGATGCCGGCTCACAAGACCCTATAAGATGAGGAAAGAACTGACCTTTTGAGTTCCCGAGACTGAGACTGTGTAGTAGAAAGCCCCATATTTCTCCGACAGTGACTAGTGGTTTCAAACTACCGACCTTTCAAGATTGCAGCCCAACTTCTAACTAATATGCCACCAGGGCTCCTCCAGGCACAAAGGGAAGTAAAGAAAAGTGAGTAGACAGCACCTCACAGGGTAGAGATGTTCTTCAAAAAGAAATAACCTATCAAAAGGTAGGGGAGGCCGGTTATAGCTAGGTTAAAGAGCTCAGATGCTGAACAAAAACACAGTTCCAAACCGCCAGCTCCTCTGAGAAAGAAAGACGAGGCAGTCAGCTAAGGTAGACATGGGGAATCTTTTTTCTGCCAAGGGCCATTTGGATAACTATAGCGGCATTCGAGTGCCGCCCTGGTCAAACATTTCGTTAAACCCCTTAATGTGATGACAACTCTCTGGTGAGGTGGGTGATATTAGTGGGCATTCATGGTTTCAGGACTGGTCCTCACTCCTACTATACATATCCTTGGAAGTCCGATTGGTATTTCTGTGCCCTCGAGGGTTCCTTTGAGTTGAAATCAACATCGGCAATGAGTTTTGTTTTGCGGGGTGTTTATCTGAGGGTAATAGGACATATGGAGGGTTGAAGAAAAACTAAGAAATCAGCTCAATTTTTTTCCTTGTGAATTGGGTGAAGGTTTATAGAACAGATCTGTGTACCACACAATTCATAGACCCTTGTTTCTTGTTTTTGTCATTTTATTGGGGGATCTTATA